CGAGAGGAAGTAGTCATGGGATCGGCTGCCGTTGATCTTGGACGTGATTGCATCGACGATTTGCATAGGATCGCTCATATCCTTAACTTCGCCTTCGATGCTATCCTTCATGCTGCTGCCCTCCCGCTGGAGAAGGTCCTCGTAGTCGATGGCCTCATTATCGCGGAAACGTTCGATTTGCTTGTCGATAACCTCGTACTGGAATCCCTCCATCTTCGTCAACAGACGCTTGATTCCACATGATGTGAATTGGGCGCGGATATGGCAACGGAGCTGCAGGTCCGTTTCTGCTCCGTCCACCAGCATATTGATAAGGATCATGGTTGAGACTGCATACTCCATGAGGAGGTTCTCCATGCCAATTCCTCCGCTGCGGTACTCTTCGCTGGCACCGACCAAACTTCCCATCTTTCCACGGCCGTCGATGGTGACCTCGACAATACGCATCCAAGCATCGAAGCGACCGGTCTCATTGTGATCATGTTTGACCTTGTCCATTGATTGTAGAACTTTTAGGTGGCCTTGTCCATCACCCCAGTGGCACAAGAAAGTGAGGACTTCGCTGACTAGTTTCCGAGTATTGAGACGCGGCGATGATAACGAGCTGACGAGTGCAACTAGCACATTTTGATGCTCTAGGGCATCGTCTGCGCCATACTTGTTGTTCATCAGACCTTTCAAACATTTAGCAATATCGTATTCTCGGTCTAGATCTTTATCGCCTGTAGGGGGAGCCGGGACAGGACCAGAGACTTTTCTTCTGTTGATCTTCAAGAGGACATTGGTCAAAGCGATTTGGCCTTGGGCTTCAACAAAGGCTTTCACCCAGCTGTTTAGTTATTAGTGATACGCACGATATGGAGAAAAGGGGGTATTGCATACCTGATTGGCTGTGTCCGCAAGCTGACACTCAAACTAGCAAGCTGCTTGGACGTAATGGTATCATCCATCACCTTCTTCACATACCATTCCGGGCTCCCTTCTTCATCAGCACGTTCAAGCAAACCAGACATGCCGTCATGGCCGTGAGTTTGTCGCGCATTTTGCCGTCTTTTTTGCTCTCCTTGCAACTCCGTCAAGCGATCCTGATGCACCAATGTCCATTTCTTTGAAGCAGGGTACGACAACATCTGTCGTTTAGCCTGTTCAGGAAGATTTTGCCATCCTCGCTTCTGCATCAGCTCTAGAAAGAGCTGATCCACAATGCGGTCATCTCTCGGTCGAGTCAGGTAGTTATCTTGTGGCCGGGGGATAGCGGCCGGTACAGATATCTGGTGGGAGGATCCCGCATTTGACAAGCGGCCCGAGCTGGAACTGGGAAACAAGGCGGGACGGTCACTAGAATGCGAGGTTGTGAGAGTGCGAGAGGAATTGTCCGAGGAGAAGTAGCTTGAACCGCGCGTGTTAGAAGAAACGGAGGAATAGATGCTGGCTTGGTCGAGGGAGGTGCGGGAGTTAGAGGACGAATCAATAGAATAGGAGTTATGGTTAGGCCCATTGTTCGCTGATGAGCTGCCTGGCCGTCCCCATTGTTGCTGTTGCTGCTGCTGCTGCTGCTGCTGATATTGTTGTTGTTGCTGCTGCTGCTGCTGCTGCTGTTGTTGTCTGGCACCTCGCTCGCCGGGGTTGCTGCCGGGGTTGCTGGTGTTATTCGAGATGTGCGGGTGAGCACGAGGTCCAGGATATGGGACGTACCCATTTGGCGCAGAGGTAGAGGTCACGGCGGGATATTGATGATAGTCATTTCCAGCTTTGCCCAGATGGTTGGGGGAAGGCTCGTGGCGCGATGAGCTAGGGCGAGACATGTTATCGATTGGAATCGGGGTCCTGGTATCGGTGGGGAGGCTTTCAAAGGGGATGGAGGTGATGACGCCTGAGGTGTGTGCGATATTGCTTGGGTCGAAATCCTGGGTCATGTCGACAGATTGAATCGAAGACCGCTTCGAATGGCGGGACGAGCGTGAGCCCGCGCTTCCCGGAGGTGCCAGGCCATCGTAGGGAGCTCCATAACTATCATATCGTTCCTCGGTCGGTTTCTCTTTGTACAACTTTCGTCCGAAGAACGACTTTCCACTCGATGTCTGCTTAGGTTTGTCGGCTTGTGAACTGGTGGGCATTTTGGCGGGCGTCACTAAGATGAGGCAGGGCGCAGCATAAGGGCCCCTCCAACACTCTCAGGAACGGTATTAAATAGGGATGCCCTATTTCGCGATAAGGCGCTGTCGATCGCAAGGGATATGGGAGAAGATGATTACATTCAAAGTGGGCGAAAGTGGCTCTCTGTTTTGTCCCTCCCTGGCTAGTGCTAGTTAGTATACCCGGATTGCGACAACGGAGGCGCGAGAGACTGAGGGGTAAGGGGCTTCCTTCACGGCACTTACCCCACAAAGAAAGCAAAATAGGAGAGAAGGAGATGAACATGCAAGCTTTTTGCAAATGTCAAGTCCAGTTTGACGCCAGGATCGAAGCCCGAGCGTTCTTCTAATCGTTCCATTGATATTAGGGGGCTTCCCGGAGAAACTCCCCGACCGTGCACGTGATTGTCAAGATCACGTAAGCTTATACTTGGACCCTTCCAAGGTCAACGTCCACTGGACCGGAATGAACGGAGCTTCAAAGAGAAAATAACTCATTGTTGGTTGAGCGTGGATACTAAGCCAGAATACCAGCCATATGTCAGCATCATATGAAGATTAGTAAGTGTGTAGTCTCGCAGAAGATAGGTACATACTCTGCCACTAAACTACTTCGGGTATGTCCATAGTTCATCCTGTCAGCTAACTAGAACAAGTCCCTCACTATTTACTATATCTATTCCTGGTATACATCTTCATTTGGCACCTACCTCAGACATAGCCGGTTCTTTTACACTCCTTCTTTGTTCGGAGTAAAAGAGAGAGTGGAGGTAACTTGAATGGCTTTTAAGTCCGGTGGTGTAGGACCCATGTGAGCCTACGATCTTTATATGTTAGTCTGGTAGTATAGATGATAGCGCTAACCAGCTGGAGTGGCTATTTTTAACCATATTAAAAGCTATGAACACTACGAGCCCGTTGGTGCCCGCTAGCAAATGCGTACGTATACTAGAAAGAATGATAGGCTTGTAAAGGAGATCTGGGAATGAACAGTGAATGAGCTAAGAGAGAACATGTTATATGAGGCTCAGACTACCTACTAGATAGGTAAACTCATCGGCATAGATGTTCATAACTAACTAGTTATCTATATGTTGTCGTTAGGGTGTCTTTATATACTACTATTATTAGTTAGCCTTTATGTACTATTATCAGTTACATACAGGTAGTCTAGTTCTACGAAGCATATACTACTTTGAATAAGGTAATGATGTGATATATCAAAGAATATCAACAAAAGTGACATCTCAGATATCCCGAATGGCCGGTCGTTTGTCGATCTGCCGATCTTGCCGCGTGTGCCCCCGGACCTCGCTCCGCAATCTCTCGCGCAAACTTTGGAACCCTCAAACCTCACCACTCTATCATCCACTCTGAGGTGCGCTTTGAAGCCCAATTCCCAGCATCCAGCATGGGATCAACCAGTGTCTTTGCCAAGGTGTGTACAAAACCCCCTATTCCGACGCGCAAGCCACACATCACCGTTACTCCGTGACCAAGAGTGAACACTACGACCAAGACCTAAAAGAACACAAAGCTGACAAACCAACCCACATACAGACAATCCTCATCCCAGCCGCAATTGCATTATCAATCTACATCCTAGCCTCATGCGTCATAATCCCCTTCTTCCGCCGCTACCACCAGCGCTACTCGCAATATCTCCCACTACATACTATATCCGCCCATACACTATCCCTGCGCGACCGCATAGCCGATAAAGTGATGCACTTCTTCCTTCCCTCTCGGTGGCGGTGGGGCGCGCATGTAGCCGACCACGATACGATCAGTATTGACGACGAGGAAGGGGAGATCTTGGTTGGGATGGATAGGGATTCTATGAGGCGGGGTGCGCTGGAGCAACAGAGACGTGATACCGGGGCTGAGACGGAGAGTCGTTTAAGTCGGGATTTAGAGGAGGGGTTTATGGATGATAGTGATGAGGAGGGGAGTGAGGGGAGTGAGGGGCATAGGAATGTACGGGCAGGGAGGCTTTGAAACGTTGAAGATCACGTTCACATATACATATCTGCATTCTTGGGGTTGGAGCTTTTGTCTATGGATGTTTTGCAAGCCTGTATGATCTGGGCTCATAGGTTTGGTGTTTCAAGCGTGGCGAGTTTGTGAATAGAGTTATTTTGTCTTTTTTTTTGTAATTGTATGTAGTTATGGATAGATAGCATATACATATTTAGACCCTACTGCTACCAATCATACTTGGCCATCAAGAATGTCTAAAAAAAGACATCGGCTCTACTCCGTACACGTTCTAGACTCCACCGAAGGGACTCAATTAATCCGGTGAGATCGACATAGCTCCACCGATCACCATGCTCTGCATATTATAACATACAATGTTGTAGTTATTTCCTTTCGAGCGAAAATCCCTTCAGGATTGCCGCTGATTAATCTGAGTCATGCGAGGAATTATTGAGACCATATTTCTCAAGGCATCTATCCTCAGGCATCATGGTAGCCTCTCATAGAGACTAGCAACGTACACCGGAGCAGATCAAGGACTCTGAGAGCACGGTGCGTCTGCTTTCTATTCATGAGTGAAAGGATGCTGTGACTCGAATGCATAACCAGGACTCTGTGCTGGTTCACTTTCAGCTTCTGAGTGATGGTGAGGTGCATTATCGGGTTCTTTTTTGGTGAGCTTTTTGATAAGAACTAATCTTTCAACTTTTTCTTTCTCGTTATCTGCAGCAGTGTGTCAAGAATCAGGGCCTCGACTGGCTCAATATCCATTGAAGCAAAACTTAAACCTCAGTCCACTATGGTCACTCCACTCAATCTGGTCAGACGGCTTGGTGGCGTCGATGCAGAGAGGATGCATAAGCTCCATCATCTCCGCTTCCAATCCTACCATAGCAACCTTATCCAGCCTCCTAGGCTCATACCTAGGGTCTTTCCTCCCCCCACACTCCACGTAGGTGCGTCTGGATTCGTGTCCCCATGCAACGTCAGCCATGCATCCTGCAGCTTATTCTCCTCGATGAGCTGGTGATCGTCATCAGTGACCGAATTGAAATCTCCCACAATGAGGCCACCACTGCAGCCAGGTTCACGAAGGACGCTAGATAATTGCTTGAGCTGCTCAGCGCGGTAGGAGAAGCTATCGCACGACTCAAGGTGTGCGTTTATTATTCGGAGGAAGGTGTCCGGTGCGTAAGGAGGGATGAGGTCCACGCAAAGTCCATCCCTACCGGTTGCACTCGGGAGATGCTCGCGAAAAACCGGCCCGACAATGAACTTCCCCTCATCGTCTGATCCATCCATCTCCTTCGAGTCTTGGCTATACGCGAAGCGTTTTTTAGACAGCAGGGTCATGGTTATGAAACGCTTGTACTCTAGGTCCGTCGCGGCGTCTGTTGTGAGGAAAGCTTGGCGTATTTCGCGGTTGCCTAAGAGACTGGCACGAACTTCGGACCTGACCTCTTGTAGGCAGAGAATGTCAGGAACTCCATTTTTGAAAATGTGGTTGATGAGAGCAAGGCAGCGTCGTGTGGGGTAGCTACTAGAGTAGTCAATGTTCCAAGAGACTATGTTGAAATGAGATCTAGGAGTGTTTCCTTGGGCTGAGCTTTGCACCCCGGGACTCTGGATGGGCCGTGAGGCCACGGGTACCCAACGGCGAGCAGCGAGGCTAAAACAGGAAAAGGATTGAGGGGTTCTGGCAGGCATATAAGGAAGATTGGAGATAGAAACTCCGTATGCTGGGAAAAATTAAAGGCGTGGAGTAGAAAGTGGAGAAGTGAGGGTCGAAGGTTCTATTTAGCGTTGTTCCGTGGCGTTAGACTGAGCCACACCTAGTTAACTAAACGGGATGTTCGCCTGCTTAGTCATATGCTGGCAGTGAGGTCCTCTAGGTGTCCAAACTATCGTCGAAACCGCCTCGAGGTTGGATCCGGGCGGTCCCTGTCGGTGCTCGCAACAATCGCGGGCGCCGTTAGCGCCAGAGGGCCCAGCAACTCCAAACGTCAGACTGTGGGCAACAGAGAGTCAGTAACCACCTCAACATAAGAACCTGGGAAGGGAGGCCTCGCTGACTCTCTGTGCCTCCCTCATCCTCCATAGAAGGGGCTTGGGCACTCTTATGCCAGGGTGTTGTCACGCGACTGGTCATGGAGGAGTGACACCCATGTCTCGGTCCCATGCTTTTTGCAAGGCGAAGTAAGCAACGTCGCCCAAAAAAGGAAACAACCTGTTCGCGATTACATATTGGGTAAGAAATCTCAAAGGCAAGTGCAAAAGAAGGAAAGCTTGGAAATGGTATTCATTGGTATCGTGAAAGATGCTACCTATTTTCAGTATTGCCCATGCCATCGGGAGCAATTGGGACTTTTATGAACATCTCGAATAAAGAACAAGAAATATGAAACGAAGTCTCTCACCCGGAGAATACTTCATAATCACACAGGGCTCCCTACTTGCGCTGACCGTAAGCCTTGGTGGCATAGGCACCCTTGTGGACAATCAAGTCCTGAGGGCGGTAGTCCTCACGGCCGGAGAAGTAGCTTTCGAGAATGTTCTTGGTACCTTCGGCGTAGCGGACCTGAGCATCGATGGAGGTACCGGACATGTGGGGAACCATGGCATTGCCGCCACCCCAGGGGTGCTCGGCGTAGCGGAGAGGGTGGTCCTTGGGGGCGGGCTGGGGGAACCAGACATCACCACCGTAACCACGGAGGTGACCAGACTTGAGGGCCTCAGCGACATCCTCCTTGACAACGATAGCACCGCGAGCGGTGTTGACGAGCCAAGCACCGGGCTTCATCTTGGAGATGAGCTCCTTGTTGAAGAGACCGCGGGTCTTCTCGTGCAGGGGGCAGTTAATGGTGACAACGTCACACTGGGCGAGCATCTCCTCGAGATCGTCGACGCGACGGCAGCCGATCTCCTTCTCAGTCTCGGGGGAGAGGGGCTGGTAGTCGTAGTAGAGGAGCTCCTTGCAGTCGAAGGCCTTGAGGCGGCGGAGGACACGCTCACCGATACGGCCGACGGCGACGGTACCGACGACCTTGTTCTCAAGATCGAACTCGTTCTTGGCGACGGCAGCGACGTTCCAGTCGCCGGCCTTGATCTGCTCGTGGGCAGGGACGAAGTTGCGGACTAAGACCAGGATGGTCATGATAACGTGCTCAGCGACAGAGACGACATTAGATCCGGTGACCTCGGCGACGGTGATACCGCCGTTGGTGGTGTTGGCAGCGTTCAGGTCAACGTGATCGGAACCAATACCGGCAGTGACAGCGAGCTTGAGCTTCTTGGCCTTGGCCAGACGCTCAGCGGTGAGGTAACCGGGGTGGAAGCTGTTATATAATCAGTGGAGGTTTTTAAAATATTGTGCATCAGAAACGGACGGAGTGGTGATGATGACTTCAGCATCAACGAGCTCCTTGTCGAAAGTGGAGTTCTCGCCATCCTTGTCGGAGGTGGTCACTAGGGTGTGACCCTGGTCCTCGAGCCACTTGCGGATGCCGAGCTCATTCTCGGTAGTACCGAGCAGCTGAGGCTGCTCCTGGGAGTGAACACCACCCTATATCACAAACAAGACCGGGTCAGCGATTGAAGTATAGGAAGTATGAAGTGAGAATGACTTACATCGTAAAGAACCAAAAGAACTTTGCCCTGGAGGTTTGAAGTTGCAGTTAGCGTACGTGCACCGGAAATATAGCCAGCCAACGGTGAAGCCCGAGCGAATGAACTGGAGGCAACAGTTGGCTTGAGAGAGCTCGAGAGGAAGGGTCGTCCTAATTGACGGGTAAGAGAGCGAGTAAATACCATCGTGAAGGTTTATAAAATATTTATAAGATATGTTCAAAATATCACTAAAAAGAAGGTTAGCGCTCCGTTATATACATTCGTGTATAGATCGATAGTTATAAATAGTTGATGAGGTCAGCGTCCAAAAACAGCGTTGGAGAGGTTGCAAGCTCTGAAGGGGAGAAGTGGGGAATCTTGCAAACCAGGGAGTGTGATGTGACTGTAGGGGAAATAGTGGAATAGGAAGATGGTAAAGGATAGACTTACAGGTAGAGTTGAAGAGATGAGAGTTGGATAGAGTGAGAAGAAAGAAAGCATCCGAACAGCAACTGGAGCTAGGTTATATATCCCACAAAGACAAGCATTGTCCCCTCAGAATAAGTCGCATAGAAACGGGAGTCGGACTAAACTGGGAGCGAATCCACTTGGAGAACTCTCCGCACGAGGGACAGGACAGAATGGGTAGTACATTCATTTGAATTGATGGCCTATCATCTTCGGACTTGCGTAGCTTGCCATATCCATTTGTATATTATTGTATATTATATCGCATATTATATATGTGTATGTGTATATTTTACTTTTATATGTTATGCTATATCACCCATGGACTATTGCATAATTAACATTGGAAAGCTCTCAATGGATGAACGTGCGGGGGCACTTTTGTAGTGTACAGTTACACATACAACCTACGCACTTGTACTGGATAAAATGCCTCGTAATATCTCTCTCTATCTTCATTGTAATATTCCAAATCACCAACTATTTGGTTCTTCCCATCTCTCCCCCATCAGCCCATCAGCCGATCAAAAATCCAAGTGTTACCCCGCTGAGGGGTAACTATATCTGCTGACATAATGAGGGGTAAAGTCAAACCCAACCAAATCCGTATATGCAACTCATATACTCCGTACACCAGTCGACCCCCCAATAATTGGCATCTCCAACCTGCAGGCTCATGTAAATACTATCCCACAAGGTACTAAAACACTCCAAGTTCCCCAGCACTCGATGGCATCCTCCTCAGGAGCCATGCCGAACAATTCCCGCACTTCTGCCGATATTCGGCCTCCATGTCACCTTCTCCAACTCCGGCCCCGCTACTCCCCTACAGAGCTACCCATAATGTACATTGCCTCCTCGCGAGGAGGTTTTGGAGAAATATCCATGGATCCGCACCAGGTCCACCGATGAGCTTCCGGATCAGATCATGGAGACCACGGAAAGCATGACCGCATCATAGACGGACTCGAGCAGGATGGGTGGATTTCTTAATTCCCCTTATCTAGATCGAAGACTCGATTTATCTGTCTTTTCGCAGCGCGCTTAGTCTCTTTGACAAGACTGCAGATTAATTGGGATAAGCACAATATGTTTCGAGTTGCTCCCCGGTCGGGCATTGGATCGCATTGCTACGTTGGGTGTCGAAAACCTAACTTTGAAATGATGACCAGAGAACCGTGATGCCGACCTACGATATACTAACTACCGTTCCAACCCAGCATCGATCCCAAAATTGCCTACTCAAATTTTGATCATGCAGTTAATCGGAATAGTCGCCATGAGGTTTCACTAGAAGTCGCATACGTGAGATGATGGTCCGGGGCTTCGGCGCATATCGTGTCGCATGATCAGTGCGGGGGCCATTCAGTTCGATTCGTCACCCTCGAACTTCCGGGATGCGCCTCAACCTGTGTCCGTGTGCTATCGCCAGCAATATGGAATCGCGATGTGATTTCCTTCCGAAATCGGACAGTTGCAGCCTTTAAAGCCTCGAACATTGTACATGCATAACCGTCTATTGACACCTGTCTTATTTAACACATCCACAGTCAGACCTGGACAAAAAGGTCCACTAATTGACGAACTGCCTCCGCCTCCACAACGACCTCGTCCAAAATTTCGCCGTCCACAAGAAGTAACCGCAAGCCCATTGCCAGTACACTTCATCCTGGACCTCAACACGTGGATCATACCAATGGCTCAAGCTCGCATATTCCCCGCCTCAATCTCGCCTTCAACAAAATAACCACTATATACGCACACAATAACTGCGTTCCGCACTATTCACGAGAGCGCGTCTTTATCATTAATCTGACAAGCGTGTCCAGAAGAACGCAGACATGTATGTGCCGACTATCTCGCACGGCATCAGTGCTTTTTTCAGCCATAGCGCGCGACAGTCCCAAGGTTGAACCGCAGGAATACCATGTCCCTCAGCCGGCACGCTTACAATACACCCATTTTCATAACTGACAATCCAAGAGACAGAAACTGCAAACCCTTGCCACCGAATTCCATCTTGTTAAATTCAGATTCGGGATCATTCCAGGCAGCGGGGACACCGGGAGGCTTGCTTGCACAAGTAGATACGGCGCACATTCAGTCATTACCAGCTGCCTAGCGGTATCGGATGCTAAGAAATGACAAAAGTCCTTCCATCGGCTTGAACCATTTTGAAAATGAATAGTAGAAACGAAGATGCATTCCAGGGATGTGTGTTCAAATGTAAAATGATGTAAGGATTGATGTACATTGTATACCCGCGTGTCGATCTTAACAAAATGACATCCAGTCTACATTTCCTGTGCAACATAGGGCTCATATGATTAATAATTTGTCTGAAAAGGGAACTCTGCAGACGTTATCTGTCGAGTTTTGCTGCAAATGCATTTTATCTAACACTACAAATTCGATGAACCTTTCATTAATTGCCTAGTGTTAAAACAAGAAGCATTGCCATACACTTGATGTCGACTTACATTGCACAACAGGTTATGTGTTGCCCATTTTATATGCATTTGGCCTTGAAATATATATTTTGATTTCAAAGTGTCCCTATTAAAGAACATCTGAATACCCGAGAGGATATTGCCGAACCCTTTAATACTGTGAACTATCACTATGAACTCAACTATATTATCCGATCAGACCCCATCATGTGGTAAAATCCTCATGTTGCATGGTGAGAGCGCTGTCCTTCTATCTTTCCTGTAGAAGCCGAGCAGCCAGTTAACCCATGCAATTTAGGGCACAGCCAATCTGGACAGTTTTTCCAATGCAAAACTAGATTCATACGACAATATATGGAGCGATCCGTGCTCAAAACCCTACAGTAGGACCATAATCGCCAAATAAGCAACATTGAATTCTTTTACCCTTTAGGTCAACTGCGAGCCGATCCAGAAAACTGGCACAAAGACGACGACAAGCGGGCCTGAGGTGATGGAGATCCAGAACAGAGCATATCAAAGGGCTTGAAAAGTCCATTCAATGTGTCTCTGATATTCTTGAAAGACATGGTCCTTTCATCGGGATCATAGGATTCTCATCAGGTGCCGACGTGGCTGCTATTGTCACATCCGTTCTTGAAAAGAAAGTATCAATCTGCAACTTCAATATCACAGTAAGCACTCCCGGGTATTCGCCGCTATTTGTCAGTGACTTATGATTTCCATTTTCTAGCGAGATCACCCCCCGATGAAGCTTGCTTTTTGCCTGAGCGGTTTTCAGCTAGCACACCCTGCGTATGCGCCGATATATTACCAGTAGATCAAAACCCCAATACTCTATGTCATAGGATCTTTAGATGCAGTGGTTGATCCATCCCAGTCCTTGTTGTTAGCAAAGGATTGCATTAATGTCGAGATTTACCAATTCTATGGGACTCATTAGGTGCTTCGAACGTGAGACTTCTTGCAGGTTGTCGGTCGATTTGTTGAAGGGATTCCGATTGGCATTGATGATGAGGATGATTTAGGATTGTATTCTGACGTAATCAGCATGATCTGCGCAGATCAACGAATCAGCGGCGGCAATTGATAATCTCCGAATCTCCGATTTCTCGGACTCGGCGCTCGGACATTCAAATCTATTTCTTTCTATTTTCTGACATTTTGTTCTTTGAATTGTTATACATTCTATCTATTATAATGCGACCAATACTTGTGCAATCGCTCAAGCGCGACTGGAGCGGGCGAACATATCGAAACTGCCAGACAATCCGTCTACTGTCTACCCCTCAGCGCAGTAGCAGACTCCGCGCCCGCCTAGAAATCCCCCCTCCCTTCCCCGTTACCAAGACATGCCCCGAACCAAGCTGCAATTGTCCGCCCACGCCCGCTCTGCCGGAGGATTTACCGATTGATTATGAACAAGCCTTAAATGGGACGATGGCTGCCTACGCGCAGCAGCTTCTCGTCTGCACAGGACAGCCAGACTGGACGAGTCGCATTGAGAATGATGGCGAAAACAAAGGCTGGGGTAACCTTGTGAGAGGATTGAAGAGCCTGCTAGGTCGTGGCGGGCCATATCTTGATGTAAGTGGTTCAACTAACCCAATGAATACGCAAGCTCTTGCTTATACGGGATCATATCGCTTTAGCCTTTCAACAATATCTTGGTCACGAATTCATCTATCACGCCAGCTGCAGGCTCCTCCTCCACCTCTGCCTCGGCATTCCTCTTCCCCAGCTTCAAATACATTCCCTCAATACCCGTGAACCCAACCTCATCGCCCGACCAAACAACCGACCTTACGACCTTCGTGCGCGCATATCTTCTCCCCGAACGACTCCACGACATGCACTCCTCTCTCCCCGCAACCAAACAAGCACAAATGACCCGATCCCCGGAGCTAGTATCAAACTTCCCAGGAGTTATCGATATCAACCACTCCCCAACAGTGTTAATATGTGGACATGGAGGTCGCGACATGCGCTGTGGTCTCATGGCACCCGCGTTGGAAAGCGAGTTCAAGCGCGTGTTGCAAGCGCGAGGATTCACCTCCGCAGACAGTGATGAGACCACGGTGGATGGCCCTAACCACGCTAATATTGGTCGGATCAGTCATGTTGGAGGACACAAATACGCAGGCAATGTGATCATTTATATACCACCGAAGATGACAGTGGGAACTTCTTCGGAGCCGCACCCGCTGGCGGGTAAGGGGATTTGGTACGGTCGTATTGAGCCCAAGCATGTGGAGGGGCTTGTCGAGGAGACTATTCTCGGAGGGAAAGTGATTGCGGATCATTTCCGGGGTGGCATTGATAGAAATGGCGATATTTTGAGGATGTAGACTTAGGATAGAGTAGAGTGTACGATACATAGTGAGCTGCGATGCAGGATATGCATATTCATTGAACATAAATACATTCCCAAATATCAATTTCCTGCAAATACAAAGGACCCGACATCTTCATACCTAGGGCTTCTAGAATAGTGCTGATACGCTAGTCCAAATCGGGGCTAAAGCTATCCGGGCTCCGGGGAAGTTTTGAAGATGCGCAGACAAGTCAGACGTTCAAACCGCGGACATGACCAATCGCCCAAATTACTCCAATATCTAAGCATATTTTAGACACATAATGACCAACTAGCCATGCAATCCCTCTCACGACTCCGATTAACCAGCGCCGTCGCGCCTGGCCGCATATACACGCGCCCAACCCTACGAGCCCTCTCACCAGTCTACACCCTAACCCGATTAGCCAGCACAGCAACCCGCCGACTGGACCTCCCGGCCCTTGACAAAAAATGGCAAGCAAAATGGGAAAGCGAGCGCGCCACGCCGCGCTCAACACCCGATACAACACAGAAACCTAAATCCTACATCCTGTCCATGTTCCCATACCCGTCTGGCACGCTGCACATGGGCCACCTGCGCGTTTACACGATCTCCGATGTGATCTCGCGGTTTTATAAAATGCGCGGACATGACGTGCTCCATCCTATGGGGTGGGATGCATTTGGGCTGCCGGCGGAGAATGCGGCGATTGAGAGGGGTATTGATCCTGCGGTGTGGACGCAGGAGAATATCTCAAAGATGAAGGAGCAGTTGAGGTGTATTTCGGCGGATTTTGATTGGGATAGGGTATGTTTATGTGAAGTATTGATGTTGGATAACTATCTGATACTTGTGGCTTAGGAACTGGCTACGTGTTCACCGGACTTCTATGAGCATACTCAGCGCATCTTTTTGATGATGTATCAGAAGGGTTTGGCATATCAAGCAGAAGCGTTGGTTAATTATGACCCTGTTGATAAGACCGTTTTGGCAAATGAGCAGGTGAGTCGGGATCAGAGGGTAGAACTTGATTTGGGCTAATTCTCGTCCAGGTTGATGCCAATGGATTCTCGTGGAGGTCTGGTGCTAAGGTTGAGAAGTTGAATTTGAAGCAGTGGTTCTTCAAGATCACTGATTTCAAAGAAGCACTTCTGAAAGACCTCGATTCTCTTGCCGGGGGATGGCCGGAGCGTGTCCTGTCGATGCAACGCAATTGGCTTGGAAAGTCTTACGGTGCCAAGGTCACATTCCCTGTGACGATCGGTGGAGGTGACCAAGTCGATGTGAATGTATTCACTACCCGACCAGACACTTTGTATGGTGTGGAGTATCTAGCACTTTCTTTAAACCACCCTATTGTGTTGAAGGCTGCCGAGAAAGACGAGGCACTTCGCAAATTCCTGAGCGATTCCTTGTCGCTTGCACCGGACTCCAAAGCAGGATACCGGCTGCCCGACATTGAGGTGTCTCATCCATTGTGCAAAATTGATACAGAAACACCCCACTTGCTGAGGAAGCTTCCTGTCTTTGTGGCTCCTTACGTCCTTAACGACTATGGCGAGGGAGCAGTCATGGGCGTTCCGGGCCATGATAACAGGGATATGATGTTCTTTAAGGAAAATGTGAACCCCGATTCGATCCCTGTTGTTATCGAGGCTGAGCCAAGTGGCAATGAAGCAAGCAGTGTCGTCCCGACGTCAGACGCAAAAGCTTTCACGCAAGAGGGTGTATTGAATTCGCGCTGCGGAAAGTACCAAGGGTTACACTCCAAGGAGGCATCAAAACTGATTGTCAATGACCTGGAGCAAGTCGGTCAGGCTGGGTTCGTTGAGAGCTGGCGTCTGCGAGATTGGTTGATCAGTCGCCAGCGATACTGGGGTGCGCCCATCCCTATCATCCACTGCGGCGACTGTGGTCCTGTGCCGGTGCCCGACAAGGATCTTCCAGTGAAGCTGCCGAAAATCGAGGGAGAGTGGCTCAAGGGAAAGAAGGGAAACCCTCTGGAATCCTCAGAGGAATGGGTCCATACAAAATGCCCCAGTTGTAATGGTCCCGCTCGACGCGACACAGATACCATGGACACCTTCGTGGACTCGTCCTGGTACTTCTTGCGGTTCTTGGACTATGCTAATAAGGAAGCCCCGTTCTCTCCTGCGGTGATGCGGCCAGTGGATGTGTATATCGGTGGTATCGAGCATGCCATTCTGCATCTTCTCTACGCTCGGTTCATTTACAAATTCCTCTCGTCTGAGCTGCTCCCAGCGAGGAACTCTGCTGCACTCGCAGAACCATTCAAAATGCTTCTCAGCCAGGGTATGGTCCATGGAAAGACCTTCACTGAGCCTTCGACAGGCCGCTTCCTTCTCCCGTCGGAAGTTGACTTGACCAATCCAGACAAGCCTTTGATAAAGGGAACACAAGCTTCCCCTAATATCTCTTTCGAAAAGATGTCCAAGAGCAAGTACAATGGTGTGGACCCTACCAGCACCACATCAAAATATGGTGCCGACGCTACTCGCGCGCACATCCTGTTCTCCGCACCAGTCAGCGAGGTTCTAGAATGGGACGAAGCTAAGGTTGTCGGCGTCGAGCGCTGGTTCGGTCGACTCTGGAAACTCATCCAAGACACCCAGCAGACTCTAACAGAGGCATCATTCTCCGTCTCAGAAGCAGATCTGAAATCATCTACCACCCATGCCGCTCCCCTTCCGTCATCACTCCAGGACCTGAGCGACTCCGACGCAGGCGCAGTCCTAGCCACCCAAAATACCATCGCATCCGTCACCACTTGCATCGAAAGCAACCCCTACAGTCTGAACACAGTCATCTCAGACCTAATCAAGCTGACCAACACCCTGGCCTCGACACCCGCCTCCTCCCCTCTGATCCTATACCTATCCGTCTCATCACTCCTCCGTCTACTAGCCCCCATTGCCCCAGCCTTAGCCTCTGAATCATGGGAAGTCCTACACGCAACCACAAATACCACCTCCTCAACACCAGTGCCATCCATCCTTTCATCCCCCTGGCCTAGCACCCTCCTCACACCCGACCAAGTCGAAACCCTCTCCTCTCGCGGCGGCCAAACGGTCGCCGTCCAGGTAAACGGCAAGCTCCGCTGTGCTGTGACCATTCCGCGTATGGAGTCTCCGGTGACAGCATCGCCGCAGGGCAAGAATTCTCCTTCGCAGGAAGAACAGGATTGGATCATCAGTCGAGTGTTAGAGACTGCTGAGGGGAAGTTGTGGCTTCGGGAGAAGAATGACTGGGAGAAGAGACGGCGGGTTATTGTCATCAAGGGGGGGTAAACTTGTCAATGTCGTTTTCTGAGTTCCCTATACCTTAGTATAAGATGTGGGATTTGTATTACTATTTCTATCTTGGATAGACTTGTATATTATTTTGATAGGTATTGCATAGAGCTTTCTCTTCTCACTTTGTTTCTCTTTCTTTTACAGGAGGCTATGCCGAACGCCTGAGATATCAGGCCTTGTGTAGCTATAAATGGCTATAAATGGCATCTTCTTCTTTTCCCTCTTCATATATTTCTCTTACCATCATTATTCCTACAAACGTTTAGACTTTATAAGAAGAGGATTTCCTAGACGATGTCATCACTATTATATATGAACACAACCCATGAGCCTCCTAGAACCGAGAGGTTATGAGCGCCGTGCTCATGGAGTGGTTCTGAAAGCCACCAAAATGGCAAAGTATTAGCTCCCCTTCGCAGGCCATGATTCAATAAGAGCCACTCTAACATCAACAGATTACTTCTTTCACATTATCCACAAGAGTACTACATTCGAGTCCTCCGTGCATCGACCAGGAGGGAAATTCCCAATGCGCACTCTAGAATGATCCTTCCAGCCTTGAGAGATATAATTACAAGCCTGTCTGAGCCGATCATAACGACCTGAGTTCAGGATTATGCTAGTCTGCAACTACTTGGACCGTAACTCGCAAATGAGGCCGTCCTAGCTCGGGATACTGCGCTGGCCGAGATGGTTTACTGGATATAAGATATCTATATGAATTTGCTAGAGTGACTCTCCTCGCATCAGCCGTCAGTATCCGCCTACTCGCCCTGGTGGTCCATTTGCACGAGCCGGTGAAATCTCAGAAATTCAAGAAATCACCGACTGGCTCCTCGCGAAGAGTCTGGTTAGTGGAGTGAATGCCTTTGGGTTTCTTTCCCATTAGCCTGGTTGTCTGCCTCCGCGCTAGTAACGTTGGCCGAAGCAGAGAGGAATTCTGGAGCTATAGGTTTGGGTTTACCAAGAAAGCAGCACTTTATCGTGGTGTGCAGCATCCATGCAGTATACGTAGACGCATATCATTTGCTCCCTTAATCCTCGAAATCTGTAGGTATATAGCAAGTCTCTTGTTCTGATAGAATCCAGACAAGCTCTGTAGCGGGTCATACATTCCCACGACATAGGAAACCCTCACGCCTGAGAAAGCAGGTCGGCTGTCCTCTGAAGAGGCTCCTTGATCAGGGTTGGGTATAATAGAAGACGTTGACAAAGTCGAACAAAATCATCCATTACCCAATTCGCTCCCCCCTTCAGCTCCCTCCGGAAAAGAAGATCCCCCACGCCCTCCAACCGGCAAAGTCTCACCCATCGGGAAACTGAGATATTTCCAATCCTCAATCTCCTCAATAATACACTTCAACCGATCCCGTATACTCTCAACAGCATACGTACCCAGAATCAGCCTCAGAGGCGGGTAAGAGCAATGACCAAGCTGCCAAACCAAATGCGCCGCCTTGACCGCACTAGCAGGCTGCTTATCGCCCAGCCACATGAGCATACGTCGTGCATGTGCCGCCGGCGACGTAACCGTATTATACGGCTCACTGGGCGGCTTAACCAGAAAATGGCCGTAGAGCGGCAAGGGCGACGAAAGCTGATGTTCGGAAGGGTTAGGCACGACCGCAGACGGCGAAACCAAATCCCCAATATCATCACGACGCATATGACCAGGCTCAACGAGCGTACCCTTAATATTAAAACTATCCACCTCATACAGCATACTCTCCATCAAGCCCTCGACGGCGTATTTGGATGCACAGTATGGTCCGAGGCCCGGCACACCGAGCGCGCCAGACGTCGAGCTGAAAATGAGGTATCTCCCCGCGCGACGCTGGCGGAAATGCGGCAGCGAGAGCTGGATCATGTTCAGGGTTCCTGTGAAGTTTGTTTCGAACTGGTTGCGGATGTCGAATTCATCTTGGTCTTCGCAGGCGCCGATGACGCCGTAGCCGGAGCAGTTTGCGATTATGTCAATTCGGCCGAAGCGGGTTATTGTTTGGTCGATTACGCGCTTGACGGTCTCGCGCGCTCGTACGTCGCATAGGAGTCCGATGCAGTTGGCTGATTCTAGCTCTTTCATTGCTGCGGGGCTGTTTTCGTAGGTGCGTCCGACGGCTGTTACTAGGTCATTGTTGGCGAGAGCGGTTTTTACTAGGGAGCGGCCCATGTGGCCGGTTGCGCCGAAGATCTGGGGGTGTGTTAGTGTTTGTTGGGGTTTTTGCTTAGGGAGGGGTTGTATACCAGCCATACGAGCGGTTTGGGGGGGTTCTGGGGACCCGGGGGATCGGTTGTTGAAGGGAGATGAAGTCTTGGTTCGCGTGATGCTGGAGAGGAGGGACCTCCTTTTGGGGATGTCTGCTCCATGGTGTGGCTCAGGTGAGGGGAGAAAGAGGAAGATGAATCTCCGCATTTGGGGTTTCTGTCCCTACGGCGCGGTATAGCGACAAATACGAAACAAGTTGCCGTTAACTATTTCCTTCTCTAGTCCGATGAAATTGACTGTCATTGCAGGCTTTACTTGATATAATTCTATCCCATTACCCATATACACCAGAAATAAAACACAATTATCGTCCAACCTCCCGTCGCAGCCGTCCCGCAGCTGTCGAAGGTCCTGGTTCTGGCCAGCTGCCCACTGCATCATCAACCTCTTCCAAGAAGGTTGTACTGTTGTGAATAGAAGTGCCGCCTAGAACGACTCGCACACCCGGGGAGCTGGCATTGACTTGCGCTACCATCTTCGCCTCCTCGTACGTGGTGCCACCAACCATAAAGATGATGATGTCTTGCGGCTTGTCCCGCGTGTGTCCACTGCCCTCAAGGAAGGGGTATTGCAGTTCCTTCAGGCGGCCCTTGATGAGGTTTTGTAGAGTCACTTCTAGTCTGGGGGAGTGTTGCGTGTAGACGTTCTCGACGCCTTTAAGACCCTTGAACCGGTTGCTTGCGCCGGAGAAGAAGGAGGTTGATTCGAAGAGGTCGGAGAACCCGCCTGCGACTGGTGGGGCTTGGAGGGAGTGGTGATAGGTGAGGAGCTTGGGGATAATATTTACGCGGTTTGGTGAGACTTCGCCCGCTGTCCCGAGGAGATCAAGGAGAATTGGTAGCGCGTTGTTGGGTTGCTTCTCATAGCGAAGGGCATAGAGAGCCACCAGGCGCAACTTATTATCTGAGGGCACATTAGGCTGCCCGATGATTCGTTGTAGTGACTGGAGAAGGAGAAGGGTGAGTCCGTGAGCAAAGCATAATCAGTTTGACTATTGAACATACCCTAAGATCATTGGAGTGGTTATCATTGCATGCCAGGCTCTGCTCCAACTCGCTCACATCGAGGAGGGTATCCTCGCCGACGCGCCGACTGAGTTCACCCACCAGGGTAACGTGCTTGCTCACATTACCTGCCAGCTTGCGGAATTCGGGATAATCCTCCACAAAACGCTTCATGTCCGCAATGGACTCGATATTCGCGGTGCTTTGAGTTTTGGTTTGGTACTGCTCCACATATTCTTTAATGTTCTGGCCCAGATCACCGAAGTTCTGATACATATTCTTCTTGAAGAAGGGGTCCTGGTCCTGAGCCAAGACAATCTCTTTCAGTTCTGGTCGGATATCTGGCACGTCATGCAGATCCACCCGGCCATTGTTGATGCCAAGCATCTCATGTACCATGGCCTGATATGTCCACTGAGTCAGCAACGGGGTGATGGGATCATCGCGGCGGTCAAGAACGAGCAGGATAGGAGGTGTATCGGTCCGGCGGAAGTTAAATAGCTGCTCCTCCTGCGTGATGTGGTATCGGACCTCCGTAGCCAATTTCCGGGCCAGTAGGCTGTTCTTCTCATAGCGAATAAGCGGGTTCTTCTTCAACGCGAGGAGCAGGGCCAGGACCCCCTCGGTAGCTCTTTGTAATGAATCTGGGTTCCATAAATCCGGCGAATGGCTCCATATCCGTTGCAATGGGAAACCTAAACCCAAAGAGCAAAGGTCCGGGTTGATAACAAGGAAGTCGGCAAACTGTTCCTGGACCGACTGGACGACCTCGTGACTGTCCGCTTCTGCCAGCCGCTCCAGGGCGGATTTGCGGATGATGTTGCTAAGGTAGATATAATATTCGCCGTATTTAGGTTCTCGCAGCTCGTCGATCAAAAATTGAATAGAGGTGGGTGATGGGCGTACGAAGCATAGGCATCGTAGATGCCGCATCTTCTCGCGCGCGGCATTGTCCAAGCGGTCAATGAGGTAGACCTCGTGGTTGAGAAGGGCGGATTGGGTGATTGCGGTCGAAACAATAGGGACCTATACCCATAGGGGTTAGGTTAGCAATCAGATCAGTATATTGCCAGGGTAAATCCACCCACTGTCTCACTATCCAGAAGCAAGATCTTCATCTTGGATGACGAGGTTCCGGACTCACCCACGGTGACCATCTTGGAGATGTACCCCGAGGCAGCCGCGACGACGTCCATGGTGGGGAGATTTCACCAGGAAATGAGTTTTCCAAAGTGGCTATTAGCTCTTGATTGAGGCTGTTCAAGCTGTTGAAGATCGAGGGGCTGAATGTGGAGAGGGCGGAAACTTGTTGGGGGGAATTCCACTTTCCACATGACGAGCTGTTTTCTTTTCCTTCTTTTTGGCTTCTTCTTCTTCTTTTTGACTTCTTCTTTCTTTTTTGTCTGTTTTGTCTGTTCTTTCATCTTCTACATGGTCAACAATGTTGCCCTATGTAGATCAGAGTAAGTCAACCCTCATTCAAACTTGGGAAGCTCGGTCTAACTAACACTTCTCCCCGCAGTATTTGAGGTGCCAGCTAAACTCACTGGCGCATCAACTGATGAGCGTACGATCTTCCATTTCCATAAGCTCCCGAATTGCTAGCAATTGCTGACTCCCAGCCCCAGTCAAGCTGATCGGCTCGTTCCTCCTCTCCTACCCACTAGCCGCCCTCCTCAAACGTATCCCCGATGGCCAACCCTGGAAGAAGAATGTCTTCATTA